TTCATTTTTGTGATCAGTACTTATACAGTGGGGATTTTCTTTGTAGAATAACCATGCATATTGTCAGCAGTGGCAACACAAATCATTTTCTTAGCTTTCTCGACTGTCTTCTCAAAGAAGCCTCCTAACATAAGGAGTAGTGAAATTGGTTAGCTCAGAATTCTGCAGGTTAGTCTTCATATTTTTCTGTTGTTGCTGATTTTCCATTTTGATTGATGCTGAAGTCTTGCAGTGGGACAGGCTGCATATCCATAAACTGCTGGGCTTGCAAATACAGCAGGAAAAGTAATCCATATCTCGCCTTCAATTCTGCTACGATACACAGTGGTGCACAAAGAAGCTGATTAGGAATCAAGTTCAGCTAAATTTACAGTTACTGCACCCAATGGAGGCTCAAGAGCAGTTATCTTGCAATACTTCATAAGTATGAAACACTAGTGGGAGCGAGTTCAACATCAGGTTTTACACAATGGAAGATTTAAAGCTCAACTGACAGTCACTCCCTTCTCATATTTGAGTTATAATATACCGTTTCTTTAACTGAGCTGATGCCATGCCATTAAGACATTATATGTACATTATACATATATGTGCAATAAAACATTGGAGAGAGATATTGTAGTTTCTTGCAGAAAAAAATAAATAGTCCCTATTGAAATGTTGATTTGAAACACTGTCACATTTAGACATCTGAGCATGGTATTAAAAATCTGCTGCCAAATGCTGAATTGCCCTGTGACTGATACAATTTTCTTAACAAGAGGCTTACTGTAATCTCCTATTATTCCACATCACTGCAGATTTCTCAGTCCTTCTGTCAGGACAACGTTTCCTGGAGTGTTTAATTTCGGTTATGCCACATCAGTAAAAATATCACACTTTTAATGTGTCCCTATTCAGAGTTGGATTCAGCATCATGAATCATGAAAACATTAACTTAAAAATAAACACCACATTGCATAACGTTATGTTCTAAATACGATGAGGATTTATAAACCTGTGAAATTGCTTGAATTAGGTTTCATGGTAGCTTTATATTATTTTAGAATTAATGTCCACTGCAGATAAAGATCAACACCTTTGTCATTTCTTGTTTTAAAAAGGTGTAGGTGTAGTTAATAAGTTAAGTTATAGGTCTATCATTCTGATTAAATAACAGGCAACATACTGTATGCTGCCATCTGCTAGTGACTATTTGGCTTTTATTCAAAGATCAGGATTTTGACTGTAGTGGAAGCGTCTTACCCTAAGCCTGTTTCTGTGTTATAGAAGTTTAAAACTAGTTTAAAATAACAGTTTAAAATATTATCTCACTAGAAGGCTAGAAAACCCATGATATATTTACACATTTAGACTACCAATGCATGTGCTTTGTTTGATAAACTTCCGGATGGCCAGCATCCATTATTTCCAGCAATGATATCCAATCTTTTCTGTCCTTATCTCAATAACTATATATATCTCATATCTGCTAAAAAAGAGAAATGTTCACCTTTGTGAATAACAAACACAAGATTGTGTAATGCAACTTTGATTGATTAAAAATTCTATAATATATATATAATATAAATACATATAAGAAACAAGTAATAGGTTTATTCCATGCTGAAAAAAAGAAGAAAGAGAACACAACGTTTCGGCCGGCTCCACGGCCGAAACGTTGTGTTCTTTTTCGTCTTTTTTTCAGCATGGCATAAACCTATTACTTGTTCCTTTGCAGCCTACGCATGCTGACGCAGCTACCCACCATAAATACATATAGTTTATTCTAATAAAAAACATCTGTTTTAATTCTTTTTTTTGCTTAAAACTTACACTTTTTATATCATAGTACAGTCTTTTCAAACACTTAGATGGTCACATTTCATTCTTTCCGTTTGTTTCAAGAAATAACATAGCAAATTTGTAAGAAAACAAGGATAAGAACCTGTTTTCCTGTGGCTAGTTCTGGTCACACTCGGATCACAAAATAATGAATCTGCAGCCCAGAATACTGACAAACCCAATTCATAACCAACATTAGGGAACAGAACACAACACAAGATACACCTGTTATTAAAGGGGCTTACTGTATATAGTTAATTACTAATATTTCGACACATATCGAATCATAACATTAGATCAGCACCTGTTTTATTGTAAATACAGATTTCTTCCTTCATGAAAATTTCTACTGATAAAATATAACTCTAAAATGTATCAGGCAGAAGGGATTTTTTTAAATGTTGTTTCTGTTTCTTTGCTGGGGTTTTCTATTCATGGGTTGTAGTGTTTTCATGTCTGACTGCAATTTTGTAGATAAGGTCAGAGGCTAGGCTTCTTAAGGGGAGTTTTCCTGTGCGGTTATGGAACTTTCCGCTGTGTTGCTTTGTTCTCACGAGTCTTTCATGTGCAACGTTGCAAAATATATGTTGCTACTGTTACCTTTCATACTGTGGGCTCTCAAACCACAAAAGATTCAAAGAATCCTTGGATGCATGGATAACTAAATAGACAGTATAACTTAAAAAAAAGTTTCCTTCAGTTTTAACAGGATTTGTCTAGATTTGTTTCAGCATGAGCATGAGGTGTCTAGGGAATGTCTTCATTTTTCTGCCAACACAGCACATACTGCAGGATGCAGCCATTTATTTCCATCCTTATTAACCATGGAAAAACAAACAAAACCACTTGTCAACTGCTGTTCTTTTGAATATCTTGTCATCTCTCGAGATTTTTATAGTTATTTGTTCTTGAAACACATCTTTCCCTAGCACCATCAAAATGCAAATTAGCAAACTGATGGTGCTCTACATAATTCAATACCTAGTGTGCTTATTAAGTGACCTTACAAAGTCCTGTACCATACTGTATGTGATAGTATGGGTATCCAACATTGTAAATTAAATTACTGAATTTAGATATGTTGGTTACTTATTTGAAAACTTTTTTGAAAAAGCATTACATTAAGGTATTGTATTTACTATAATTAGGGACACAGAACAGTTTAAAAGACTACAAGTTTAAGTTTTGGAAGCAACAAATGAACATTCCTGAATAAACATCCCTTATCTGGTATTGCTTCCAAAATGGAAGAACTTTGGTAGCTTATTCTCTTTCAAAGATTAATTAAAAGGTTGTCCCAAGTTAAATAACAGGTCAGTGCTGTACGTACTGTTTATTTAGGAAAGCTGCAGAGGTGAATAAAGTATGATGTATAGCATTTCAAAGACTTGACTGTTTTGTGTGTACCATAGAGACAATATTAATGACCAGTCAGCTAAAAATAGTTGTTTTAAATAAAAAAAATACATAAAAATGCAAATGTCTCCCCTAGGACAGTGACAATGGAGATTTTGTTAATATTATAGATAAATAACTTTTTACAGCAACTATTCTAAACAGGGATTTATATCTCAGTCACACAATGGTTATGGTCATGTTTCCTGAAGACCGATACTTTCTTTCCCTTCAGCTAAACTACTTTTAGCTAACAGGTCCTGAAATGACAATTCCACAACTGAACAGAAGCACCACTCTTGCTGTTCTCTTAAATCGAAAACCTGGCCAAGGGAATTTGATAGGAATCCTGATAGTTAGGAATCCTATTTAATGAGGCCAAATTCTTGTATATATCTTTCTCCCCTTCCAGATGCAACATCATGCAGCCAGTCTGATAATGCTCAAGTAGTTAGCAGTGAACAGTTGAGGGAATTTGCCCAATCTGTGAACCCTAACATAGTGATAAAGAAAGACTGCAAAACGAGAGGAGGTCATTCAATATAGAATTTGCCTGCAGGATATCTGCATGACAGATAAGCTGGAAAAAAGACATTATTTTATTGTCATTCATAAGAATATATGAAAGTTAAGAAATTAGAATTTGTTTGGACTTCCACTCATATTGCGTTATCCACAGCAACAGAAGACTTTTTATTTAATTTCCTTTCATGTTAAAATTGCTTGCAATACTACATTTTATGCTTAAAAAGATCTGTGTATATTGTTTCTCATTGTAGTCTAGGACAATACTCAGTTATTGCAACAGTATAAAACGTAACAGAACAGTTCTGAAAAACAAAAGTGAAAGCCTGTTTTACCAGTGCAGATCGTTCTTTTGGTTTTTGTCAACCTGTCTTGTTAAAATGACATTGCTTCTAAGTTCCTTTTGTGTTGTGCAGGAAAGCAAATCTGTTCACTTTAGTTATGTGGAAACAGCCATGTGAGGCATCAGAGTTTCTTTTAGAGGCTGCAGGTGAAGGTTTGTATTTAGGTGGACTTAGTTTTACCATACATGAATGGTAAGGCCGTCTACACAGATGCTAAGTGCTAAGTCCTAAGGCAAACGGGTGTCCTTTCATTAAGTAATTGAGGAGTAAATCCATTTGATCTGGAGCACTGAAAAGAATGAAGGTGCTCGACAGCTAAAATACTTTCTTAATAGTCTAATTATGTTGTTTGCAACCCCTTCTTTTGAAGAGTCTCAACAGAATATTTTGTGTAGACAAAATCTTCCCGATGAACTATACCATTTTGTTTGGGTGAATATTATAGGAAGTAAAGAGAGTTGTGAGCCGTAGTTATGCCTTACTTAATTATTTCACTCTAGCACTTGATTTCCTCCCTTTGCTTTGCTTAATGTCATAGGATCAAGGTGCGGGATAGTTTATTTTCATTCTTACCTATCCTTCCCATTGACTCTTACATATCAATACATACAATACATTCATCACCCAGGTAAGTAGGGCTCCTGTGTGTGTAGGTTTTCTGTGTGTGTATAAGGAAGCTCCAGTGTAAGTGCAGTTTTCTGAAAAGGAGCATCATTGAGCTTTCTGCCTCTTTGTGAATTTCTAGCACAATAAGAAACACATTTTCTGCAGATGTATTTTTCATTGAACCCTCACTGTGGTTAGGCTATAAAGTGGACATGGAGTGGTTACATGACATGAAAGCAATTGAATTTTACTCAACACATGCCTCTTAAAGAATGTACTAAAATATGAATTGTGGCTTCTTTACAGTGTCCAATTTTATGCTGAAAGTGCAAGTCAACGACATTGTGAGTCGGCAGTACCTAAGTCAAGCAGGCGTTGAGGTGTTTGTAAACCATACACGAACCAACTCCGCAGTCACAGAGGAGAATGGAGTGGTGCTGCTCAAAGTTCCTTACAAGCTGGGTCAGACTCTAACTATTGTGGCTAGCATGGATGGCTATATTCTAACACCACTGCCTTGGAAAACTACAAAAATGCCAGGTGAGCACTCTTCCCTGTGAAATGACACAACATGTTTGTTCTTTTATTATGCTTCAACATTATTGAAAGAAGAACCTGGTATAAATCATAAAGAAAACCTGCTGAAATATTCAATACTCTGCTATGAGAATGACTGCTCAGACAGATTGTTCTCAATGTTTGAGAGCCATGCCAACAGTGTTTTCTAAGCAGTCTGTTTTAGTTGTAAGTACTGCCAGTTCCTTTGGCTTCTCACAGGTAAGCACTTAGAATTGTACTAAGGGAGGAAATCAAGCTGTAGAACTGTTTATAAAAATAATTTAACACAGGCAAAAACTATCTTTTGCTTCACTATGTCTTTGTCTTTGTCCATGAAGTAGGTTACAGCTCATCGAACTGCAAGTGTTAACAGGCACAGTGTTGCTTGTCTTTCTGCCTGCTTGAAATAATTGACTCATGCAATAGCTCAGTGGTGTATTTTTTCCCTTTTTGTGTAATCAGGTGTACTCTGGCTTTCAAAGTTCACCATATTTTGAGTGTTCTTGGAGCTTGCCCAGACGTCATGCTGTTAAGAAATCATTAGAGTAGTTCAGCTGCATTAAAACGCTTTGTCTTGAAAATACCAGTACTGTTGATAGTGGAATATTGGAAAGTGGTATCTGGCTGTGCAGGGTTTACTACAGAGTGCCAGCACACTCCTTAGCTTGTTTTTTGTAGCTGGTGCTGTGTAGAGGAATACTACAAGACTGCCATCTAGGCATCAGCTAGTGCTATTACACACCTATGTTTTAGAATCTAATCATGCTGAGTTGTATTGTGAGATAATGTCACTGTACATTATGTGCAGTGGATTTAAGGTTTTTTGGAGTTTTAATGGATTCCATTAAGTGCAACAATTATATGCAAATGAAAACAGTGCAATGATGTGTTACATAAAACTAACAGAATTTCCCAGTATCCTGAGGACAAGTTTTTGTGCTTTTGAGTTATGTATTAATAGCAATTCATGTTGTTTCCAGTATTCTCCTCTGTGACACTGTCGCTGTTCCCACAAAACCAAGGTAACATCTGGCTCTTTGAAGATTCTGTGCTGATTACCGGAAAACTGTCTGGTAGGTAAATATTGTACTTTTTGTTCTAAAAATCAGCACTCCATTTTCCAGACCACGATTCCTTTGCTAAATAATTGTAATTGAATATTATTATTAATATATCATGTGTTACATAAACAGGTACACTGTCAATATTTACCAGTGATACCTACAGATGCATAAATGAATCCTAAATAAAAAATCTGAAATATTATTCTAAAAGTTAACAAGTTAACTTGCTTATATAGGAAACTACCAACATTTTGGGTGCTTGTTTTTTCTCTCTGTTTGTAGATACTATGTCGCAGCCTAATGTTCAGTTTCCAAAAAATATACTAAAACTGCCAGGAAACAGCAACATCTCTACTGTGACCGCATATCTGACAGTGCCTCAACTGCCATCAGAAAAGGACTGCTTTCTGTACACTGTAGGGATCCTTATCAACAAATCAGGTGGGCGAAGGTCTTTTCTGCACGTGAGAGAGAAAAAAATGACATTGAAAAGCCCATATAATATTCATGTTTTAACCTGAATGGCAACAATGCATTTTTCTTTTATATTTGATAGAAATAGCATACATTATAATATAATGTAACACTTACGGCCGACAGGCACTGTGTAAGAGCCGGCGTACCAGAGCAGGTGACGTCACCGCCCTTCCCTGTGATAGCAGGACTATAGCTACTGGGCTGTAGAGAGATCTTTCTTTGGCTCACCGGGCTGGGTCCCTGCAGAGAGATGCGGGAGTCCCGGGTTCGAGCCCCCGACGGTGGGGGGCCGACCTAATGCGGCAAGGGCGCCTGCCTGAGCCCCCGTTGCGTTACAATAATATGGGGTGGCATGGTGAAGTAGTGTTTAGCATTGCTGCCGGAGCTGGGGTGATATTTGCGTGAAGTTTGCATGTTTCTCGCTGTGTTTGCATGGGTTTTCACCAAAGATGGGTGAATGGATTCTGGGAAAATTGGCACCGGTGTGAACTTGTGTGTTTATGTCTGTGCGTACCCTGTGACCCTACATATCCTGCCTTGTGCCTGTTGCTTGCCAGGATAGACTCTGGCTTCCCAGAGACCCTGAATAAGATGAACCAGTCAGGAAATACATGGACGCATCATATGACATATGACAAAAATCTTTTAAATATCGCTGCAAGTTTTTTTAGTTTTATTTTTAATTTTCTAAGCCTTTCTTAAATTATTTAGTATAATAATTGATTCATTTCAGGGTACAAGAACATTGAGCTGAACCCCTTGGCTGCAATTAGTATCCAGCTTTTCTCCACTGGGAAAGAAATACAGGTCACTGGTCCCATCCAGATAACACTGCCTCTACCAGACAGCAACCGCATGAGGCCTTTAGATGCTGTACCTGCGTGGGCGTTTGACATGAAAACTGGTAGGTGCCTAATTTACCTGCCAAAATATCTGTAACAGTCTTTGTCTTTTAGGTAAAACAGCCCGTTACATGTAAGAAAAAGTTCATTGACTTGTGGGTGAATAAATAAAAGGTTCCATTGATATCAACAGCAGGCAGTTTCCATTCTGTTCTGGCTGGGAGAAGACTTGTATGAACTCATTCAAGGAAGACTGCCAATAAGAGCATTTATTTTTTGTTTCACAGTGCCATAATAAACTGTGCTGTACAGTTATATTATTACAGCTGTAATTACAATTAAACAATGACAGTATTGGGGATTACCTTCCCAAACTGAATTGTTATCATAATATTAAATATTAACTTAGTGATGTAACTGATATTTTATTTTGTCCTAATTAGAATGAAAAAATACAAAAATTGTAATCGTACTAAAATTGTAATTTACTGCATGAAGGTGAATTATTACTTTATACGACTTTGTAACTGTTTATTTAATATGGTGGTATATAAAAAAAAGTTAACAAAAAATGAAATGCATCACTGATATTGTTATAATTATCAGGAAAATAGAGAATACTAGAAATGACAGAGCGAATTAATTCAGAATTATATACCTGAGCCATTGGTTTAATTAGAGGCACTCGAGTTCTTTGTTCTCCAGCACAATTTTGGTGAAAGGAGTGATACATCACACTGAGGTAAACAAATATTTATTAACAATGACAATAACACACTAAACCACACACATAAACATACAACATACAAGTTACTCTATTTACAAACAAGACTTTCTAAAGGCTTACGCTACGCCCTGACCAACCCCCCAAAAAAACAAAAAACAAGAATTCTATATAACAGCTAACAGGCCAACAAGGGAGATGAATTTACCTTCTAAACTAAAAGGGAATATAACCTATGCTTAAATCGCTCTATAAATCCAGCCGTTACAAAATGAATAGGAAACCTAGCATCATATTCACCTTAATAACCATGAGAGGCCATTTTAAACTTATGAATTCTCTATACATGAAATCAGAGTTTCCTAAAAACAATTGAATGGCAAGGTCTCTTAACAAGGTTCAAATACTCGACTTGAGTCTGGTCTTAAAGACATACTGGAACAAGGACTTTGTGCCTTCACTGTCTCTTGTCCTCTTTCCTATCCTCTCTCTCTGCTCCTTCTGTTCTCTATCTTTTCCTTTCTGTGGCTGCTTGTCTGTTTTTATCCTCTGTTCCTCAACTATTGATGAATTTTAATCGTTTACCCAGAATTTAATTACTCAAGGTAAACCAGAGTATTCCTTTGATAAGTATGTCTCAGGCCCTCTTCCACTCAGCAGTCACCCAATTTTATTTCTTGCTTTGGAGCACCTGAGAGCTACAAATGTTGACACTAGCTAGATGTTTGACTTTTGCCCCTAGATTCCTAAGATACCTTAACGGCCACTTCCAATATCCTTGACAATATGAATAAAGCAATATGAGAAGCAGTGCTGTTTTGCAGTCCCCAGATGCCAGTGGTGCTTCCAAAAGAAAATGTATTTGAGGATTCCAAATCTTTAGTATTTGTTCATGCATCCATCCATCCTTGATAGTCTATGCATTTGTAAAAAAAAAAAACATTTTACCTGATGTGTGGTCCTTCTTGTTTCTTTACACCAGCCATAGTCATTCCCTTTTCCTTCTCAGGTGCCTGGGTTAACAGAGGTTTGGGCCTTGTAAAAAAAGAAGACAATCGCCTTGTCTGGACGTATGTGGCTCCTCACCTAGGCTACTGGATAGCTGCACCTTTACCTGCAGCAAGAGGTGTGAACACAGCTGTTCTCCAATAGATACTGTCAAGTCTGTATTGTTCACCTACTTTAAATCATGGTTTAAAAATGTTTTCTTTTCCTTTCATGCAAAAGCGTTGAAATTCACCAATAACCAGATTTCTGTTTGTGCAAATCTAGGTTTTATTGGACATGCAACTACTATGGACTTCATCTCATATCATACTTACCTGCTCATGGCCATTCTGGGAGGAACCCTAGTTATTGTTTTTGGATTTTTAACTGTGCTGTTGTGTTACTGTAGGTAAGAGATTGTTTTGCTACATTAAAAACTAATACCCTTTTCAACATTTATTGTTCATTTGAGCATGCATTCTAGAGTTCTGTCTTACAGACATGAAGATTTTGAACAAAATGTCTGTGACAAATAACTAAGTTTTAAAGACATTTTGTCAAGCTTTTGCATTTTTTTAAAGAAAGTGTGTAAACAATACAAATAATTAAATGAAAATTAAGAACTGTGCATTTCAAAATTGGCTGTGTGGGGCTATTTAATTACTGGTCTGCAACAGAATGTTGTAAGTTTCATAAAATCTGATATGGTGATAAATGTTTCTGTTTTTTTTCAGAGGCAGTAGTTATGAGCCCCCAAAGAAGAAAAGGAACATCACTAAAATGGAGGTTTTAAAAAAGGACCAGACCACTTCCACTATAAATGGAAACCGTGATGTTTACTTTAAGGCATCTGGCCGACAAGATGACAAGTCGCATTCTCTGACACCCAGGACTGGCGCTCAAAGAGAAGACTCTGCTGCCTCCAAGCAAAAGGGGAGCTTTAACATCTATGTTGAGGATGTTGGGCTTCCATCTGGCAAGCAATTTGAAAATGTAGGAAATTCAGGCTCAGAAACTAGCAGACATCCACAGCAACCCATCTATGTTAACAGCGCTGAGGCTGTGAGGTCTAAAGAGATGGCAGAACACAAGAGAGTACACCTTGCTTTAAGTGAAAACATGTTTTTCCCAGAAAGATTGGTCCACATTTATAACCAGCCAGTGGCTATTCTGCAGGCCCCAGAGCTTTTCCACACATCAGAACACTTAGCGGCTTGTAAGTCCGCCACTTTGCCTAGAAAGGGTCAGGTAGTTTATGACACAATGATGGAACCAATGAGTAAAGATAGCTACACACAAACATTGCCAAAAATGCCCCTGCTCTCTCATCTACAACAGGAGCCCAGTGAGGAACAGCAGGTCCTTGAAGGTCCTCAGAGTTCAGCGTCTAACCCAGGGACCTGGGGGAGATACAGTAGCCTGCTGGAGTCGGTTTCAGTTCCAGGGACACTGAATGAAGCTGTGGGGATGGGGCCATTCTGCAGTGAACTCCAAGGCATTTCAGAGCAAACACTGCTGGAGCTGTCAAAGGGCAAACCCTCCCCACATCCTAGGGCATGGTTTGTTTCTCTGGAAGGCAAACCGGTAGCGCAGGTGCGCCACTCCTTCATTGACCTCCAGAAAAAGAGAAAACCTGCTGATAGCAACGACACTAGCCTGGACTCCGGAGTGGACATGAATGAGCATCAATCCAATAAAAAATTTGAACGGGAGAAGACCTTTATCAAGGGCATGCCTCACAGCAAAATCCTGTACACAGAAGACCTGGACCTCAGCAGCAGTGAGAGTGGGGCCACGGCTGCCTGCACTCCTGAGGATCCATCTCTGAGGAACATTCTAGACAGTGGGAGTGGGCCCATTGGCGAGTCCCAGGCAGAGAAAGAACAGACTGAGGTGCCAAGCGTTCAGGATGAGAGTGAGACACGCTCCACACCACCCCCACGACGTCTAAGGAAAGTCAGGGACAAGGGGAAATCAGACAGCAAAAAGAGCACTTGGCAGATACGAGAGGAAAGGCCACTGATGTCTTTAAACTAGTACCAAATCTTCTGAGGATACCACAAACAAATGGCAAAGGCACATTAAGGTTTAGGGCACAGTTTATCATCTGTTTCAGTTGTTAATGTCCAAGAAAGTGTGACTAAAGGCAATGTTCCAATTCCATCTAGGATTTTAAGCCTACATGTTTACAGTGCTTAAGTGGGTCTGATTCAACAGTTTTGGGCTGTAGAGCATATTTCTGGAAAAGGAGGTGTGATACAGGAGATGTATCTAGTCCTAGTTTGTAAATGTGCTGATCGTCCTAGAGGTTATTCTTTTCCGCCCACACCAGATAGACTGAAATCATTGGCCAGGAGTGTAAATGCATCATTATGACACACTGATGAATAGCTACTCCCAGGCTATTTTATAGCCTGATTTCATTAAAATGAACAAGCTTCTTGTGGGGCTTTACAAATACAGCAACAAATAATGCAGTGATCTAAATGGAGATTAAATACATTTCAAATAGGTTTCTACAGAAAATGTTAACTGATCCCTAACTTGTCTGAATCAATACATTGACGCGGTTGTATCTAAAAAACCCACATCTTGATATATTAGGCTTTTTTACATTAAACTTATGTGACACTGTAAAATGACAAAGTCCTACTAATTGTAAATTTGATTGTACATTTTACCTGTACAGATATGAGTGATCTTCATTTGTTGTTGCTACCTTGTAATTCGAAAAAGCACACTTCAAAAACACAAATCTTCTTATCTTGCTTTTGGCAATCAGTTATATAAAAGTACAAACAAACTGTTATGTCTGGTACGGATTGAAAATATGTCTTAGAAGTTCACCTTTTAAAAAAAAGTGTACTGCACTTCAAAGAGGGAGAAATTATGGTAAAAATTGAGCAATCCTATTCAGAATGAGATTGCTTTCAAGAAGGAAGAGGCTTTCGAAAGCTGTTATAGAATATCCCTTTCGAGATTTGCCATGTCACATGTCGTGAAAACTCTAAAGCAATTTCTTACACATTTCTAAAGCACATAAGGCAACAAAAAATGCTCTTTACAACTACAGGTTTCTCCGTTAGCTTATATTACGAAAAATCATGCAAGCACAAGTAATAAGCAGCACATTTTGGTGTTTGTTGTCATGATACACAGCTTGAGATCTACAACATTTATGGATTTGAAAATGTTATCGTAATTGAATTTTTGTTCCCAAGCCTTCCTTTGGCGATTCCAAATTTGTGAATTCAACAAGCAGTTCATGGAATAAATAATAAGGGATAAGAGAAAACAAAACAACCCAATTATGAATGAGACATTTTCTTTCTTATTTTTATTTTGTACCTTATTGTGTCAACATTGCTTTATGGTGGGTGGATTTTTTAAACAAAATTACTGGTTATGTTCTGAGGTCCTCTCTGTACCAGTAAAATATCAAGCCTGTTCTCTTTAGGCTCTGGACACAGGGCCCATGTCTTTGTTTTCCTTTATTTCTCAAGAAAAGTGTTTATAATAAATTAAAATGAGTTTCAGACTTTCACACAATGGGTAAATGATAGATTTGTGCACCTCTTCAGGGTATTTTCTCAAGTAAAACAGGTATTACAGCAGCCATTATTCAGCATTTTTAGTAAAAAGGGAAAAATGCTTGCAGTTCTGTGATCAATGTGTATTAAATCCATTGCCAGAAACTGATTTTCTGTAGGTTGTGTAAATCTAAACGAAGCACTTAAATGATTAAATCAAATGCCATAAATAGTGGATTTCTGTATATGTCTTAATATGTTTCCAATGCAGGCAGTGTATTTAGTATATACAGTATAAGCAATTTAAAAAACATTACGCTTCTCCGTGCTGTCATTTCTTTTGTGTCACTGTGCTTTAACTAAATCTTGTCATGCACCACACTTTGTGATACCGAGATGCACCAATGGTCACTGTTCCCCAAGGATTAGTAACTCATTTTACAATGTCCTTTTACTGTCTGGTTTTGTAAAATAATACTACAGTTGAATAGAAAGAAAAAGAAATGGAGGTATAATACAGTCAGTTTGCCCAAAGTTTTA